CAGACTTCACTGGCTGTAAATTTGGGGGTATCAGTTAAGAGGCTTGAAAACATGCAGGGCCCTTGACTCAGCAATTCAACACCTTAAAATAAACCCTAGTGAAATAATTAAATATGCATGTATAAACCAAAAATAACAACAGCTAACATTTATTGACTAACATGTGGGGGCTCTGGCCTCAGCAACCCACATGGATGTTTTCATTTAATTGGCGTATTATCATAAAAGGCAGGGGCTGTTATTACAGATGATGAGATGGAAGACGACACAGGCCAGCATCATTTGCATAAAGTCCAATGGAGAAGCAGTGGTGCTGCAACTTGTCTAACTCCAGAATGCATGCTCTTCACCTCTGCTGCTCTGCCCCTATGGGGAAGTTCACCCAACTGCTTTCTAACAGAGAAGAGGTGCAATCACTCTAATATCCAAGAATAGGGGACTGATTAAAGTGTTATAGCACACCTACACCATACACAGCCCCAAACTTCCACTCTAGAGAAACTTGAATAACATCAGAAAATAAGCACTCTGTAGTGTTACATGAAAAAAGCCTGTTTAAAAGTTTTATTATTCCAGTGTTATTCCAGTTTTGTAGACCTTTTATATTACATTACACTTTAAAGGTGATGGTGGTAGGATAAAATGGTCAATAAAGGTTTTGTCTACTCCACATGACTTTTAGTTTCTTCTTTCTACCTTTCAAATTTCTCCAAATTTGCTACGATGACCACTTATAACTTTTAATCAGAAAAACAAATTATTTAAAACACATAGAGATACAGGAAGACAGACATACTGAACAAGCATTTCACTGATTTATATATTTTTAGAAATATATAAATTTCTTCACTGAATGTTCAGGGGGAGAAAAAAAAAAAAAGCACACACATGGAAGAGACATTATTTCTAGGTATCTGTAAGTCTTCACTAGTCCAAAGACCCCTGTTGCTAGGACGAAGGGATCAAAGGCATGACACCCTTGGTATGACACTAGCATGAGGCTATGCCACATTTGCTACGAGAAACTCCAGCAAATCTTCACAAGAATCCGCATCAGTACAAAGAAGATATTCTCCAAGCACTGGCTCTTATATTCCTCCTCCTACCTCAAGTCTCCCAATGTTTTAAGAGTGCACAAAGTAAACTCAAAGTGCTCCGAGGAAGTCTCTGATTTTACTGAATTCTAACCCATTCTACTTAATTCTAACTTTCAATAATAAAAACGTACTGTTCTACTTTTGAGAGCTTCTGACAAATAACCCCTGTCTTGCCCAGTGCCTGGTGCATAGTTGCACGTCCAATGAATACAGAAGAAAGGCCTAGTGAATGGTTCGCTCAGCCCTGCCGCCTCAAGGACAGGTTCAGGAGTGTCGGAGCCACATTTCCTTCACTCTCGGCTAACCCGGTCTGGGGCCAGGACCAAGAGCTGATGAGGAGGAGAGCGTGTTCCCAGAAGGAAAGGGGGACGGGGCTCCTCCCTCAGGGCTGGTGTCTCCCTGGCCTCCTGCGTCCTCATTCCAAGACCCAAACCGGTGAGCTTAACCGACAGTGAGAATCAGGGGTACTGGTCTCCCCTTCTGTTTAGATCCTGCGCTGCGGTCTCCCGGCTCTCGCTGGACCTTTGTCTGGGTTTCAGTCTACCTGTAATGTTGCGCTGGCAGAGGCAGGTGGCCTGGTAACTCTAAGCTGCTAGTTATTAGTTTTTCGTCACATTTCTCAGATGTTCATTATTTTTTTGTCAATCCTTAGGAAAACTGAGGAAGAGAACAGGGAAAATACCTCATTTGAGGGCCATTAAGAGAAGTGATAAAAACAAGATTCTTTCATACCACTCTCTGTTAGCACAACGGAGCTCAGGTGGTTCTTTTTCAGATTGGCAAACCAGTCTAAAATGTCTTATTTCTTTTCATTAGTGTTGCCTTACATCATAATCTGTCATGTCTGAAATCTCTCTGCTCCTACATCCAGTCGGTTACAAAGTCCTATTAATTCTCTCTCTCCAATCGTTTTGAGTGTCTCCATTTTTTCTGACCTTGGAGCAGCTGCCTGGTTCAGACCTTGATAGGTGTGTCCTGCTTCATCTACTGCAACCGTCTTCTTCCTCCAGCTCTTTCCATGATCAGCAGGCTCCACATCGCTGCCAGCGTTTATCCTCCTCTGTCTCAACTCTGATAGCTACACCTGTGTCGGGCATGCTTTTTAGCCACCCCGCAGCCATTATTTTAGGAAAGCCCTCCTCCATCAGTCTATTAATAACCCTACTCAGTCCACGGGGTTCTGTGGACTGCCCCCCTCCCAGCCTCTGCCATCCTGCCCCACACCACCAGAGATGGGCACAGGACCCAGGCCATCTGGACCCATCTGCTGCAGGTCCTGGGACTGGCCCAAGACTGAGAAGCGAATGTGAATGACCAAGTGAAGTCTTCCCTGGGGCCTTCTGCTAGGTCAGGCACTCTCTTCTCAGCGATACCAGCTCCAAAGAGAGCTGAGTCTGGACCATCTGAGAAATGCCCAGGGAGAAAACAGCTGATACCAAGGCAAGCAGGGGTCATGGATAAGAAGAAGCCAGAAGAAAGGAGTGGGAAAAACTCCAAGGAACGTAAAGACATCACCGGAGCACCAGACCCTGCTGCGCTTCGGCCATCTTGGAATCACGGGTTATGTGAGCCAATAAATGCCTTTCATCTTTCCTTTGAACTATTCTCAACTGTCTTCCTGACACTTCTGTGTGAAGAAGATTCCTAACACATACGTCACTACTTAGAAACTGTTAATAGTGTCTTACTTCCTACAGAAAACACATACATAAGCTTCTCAGCACAATATCCAAGCCCCTCAACAAAAGGGGCCATCCCAGCTTTCCAGCTTTAACTTTTCTGTCCCAAGTACTTCCAAATATAAAAATTAAAATAATAATAATAGAATCAATACCCTCTGCTACAGCCACCACAGACCCTGACTTCTGTACCCCCCATGCCTTTGTCCATATTTTATCTTCTGAATTTGAATTATTCTTCTGTTCTCGCCTTCACTTCTCAATCTGCCAGATTCAGCTCATATTAGATGGCATTATCATATTTTATATTACAGCTTTCATATGCATGCATATTTCCCCTTACCCAGACACTCTGTATACAAGGACTGACTCTTTCTGAAGTCCCTCCAGCCTCGGACAATCTGTTTCAGAGAATAGACACTCCAGAAATGTTTGCATCTCTGATCAGAAATGAAATACTGAGGGTTGATACCTGTTAGACTCTTAATTCTTCCTTACATTAGAATTTTTCTAAGATTAACATATCACCGTACAACCCAGCAACTACACTCTTGGGCATTTAACCCCAAAGAAACAAATTTACGTTCACACAAAAATCTATACATGAATGTTTCCAGCAGCTTTATTCTCAACTTCCCCAAACTATAAATAACCCAATATCCTTCAACAGGTGAATGGTTAAACAAACTGTGGTATATCTATACAATGGAATACTACTTGGCAATAAAAAAGAACTGTTGATACATAAAACAACTTGAAAAAAATCTCCAGGGAATTATGATGACTGAAAGAAAGTCAGTCCCCAAAGGTTACATATTGTATGACTCTATTTATAGAACAATCTTCAAATGACAAACTTACAGAAACGGGTAACACATTAGCAGTTGCCGGGGGTTAGGGATGGGGGTGAGGTGGCAGGGAAAGCAGATCAGTAGAGCCATGAAAGGTACCACAGGGGATCCCTGTGGTGGTAGAGCTGTTCTGTATCTTTCCTGCATCAGCAACATCCTGGTTATGATATGGTACTATAGCCTGGCAAGAGATTACTCTCAGAGGAAGGCAGGTGAAAGTATACATATCTCTTTATTATTTCTTACAACTGCATGTGAATCTACCATTATCCTAAAATAAAAAGTTTAATTCACAAAAAGACCAACCACAACCCAATCTAAATCAAAACAGATTCTCAGTGCAACAGTACTTCACAAATAATAATAGTTTCAAACAAAAGGTCTAGCTGTAGCTAACACAACAATGAGGGGTGCCCATAAGAGGCAGGAGCTCTCTAGAAAGAGTGGGAGTGAAGAGAGATTCCTGCTCAACATGACAGAGGAGATTTATTTACCTCTGAAAACTACCTTCAGAACCTGGGATGGAAAAGAAATGAAAAGTATTAACCAGAAAGTGTTCTTGTGCAGAACCCTGAGCAGGGACCCCAAGCAACAGTCCTTCCCTACCAGTGGGGTGGCTGGGCTTCCACAGGGACGACAACGGCCACTGATCTGTGAAATCTGATCTGTTTGCCATTTAGATCCATGTGGTTCACTGAGGCTGATGCCTTCATATCTGGAAATACAGGAAATCTGCACACGAAGCAAACTGGCTCACTGGCTCACGGGTTTTTGATTCAAACATTCCACTTTTGGAGACAGTGGTTTTGTACTTATGTCAGCCAGCTGGGAAGGAGGTTCTGCTGCTCAAATAACAGAGACTGAGTTGAAATCGAGGAGCAGAGCAGCACAAAAATCACCTGCTTACATATACTGTATCTGACAGTCACATGACACCTTCTCAGTAACAGGCAACATGAGTTCTGAGGTCCAGGCTAGAAGGATGCCCCTTCCTTGGGCACTGAGTGTGCCCCCTAAATGCCTATCTCCCAAGACGATAGTGGGAGTCATGAGCTATAAAAGACAGAGTAGGGTGTGGTGGTCACATGAGTGGCCGAGAGCACCACTTGGATGGGCAGCCGCCAAGTCTGCAAACAGAGCGGGCGTGGTGCCTTGGACCTGCCACGGTTTGGGTGTTTTTCTAGCCCTTCTCAGTACCTCTTCCAAGAGTGCCTACAGCCATGACAACTGGTGAGTGGGGCAGCTGATTTCTGGGAGTCACCTCTTGGGCACTCTAATTCCTTCCCAAGAGGCTTCTATATTTACAGTGACTTTTCAGAGGTGCCCCCACACCCCCACCAGGACCAGCCTGGCAGAGCCACTGCTGCACTCACCCATTAGGACACTGAGCAGCTTCTGCACTCTGGAATTGACGCCCACGATTCTGTAGAGCCCTTGCTCATTGATCCCTGAGAAGAGAAACAGTGATGATTTAATTAGAGGCATGTCAGAACACAAGTCAAGCCAACCCAGCTAAATGCACTTTTTTCATTTTCTCGGTCCTTCTGAAAGCTGTTCTAATTAAAGTCCCCTGTCACTCAGCTCTGAGCTTAGCGAGGGAGTGGGATTTGGTGCAGCTGTCTAGGACTTCACGATGTGCTGCACACTTCAGCCCTTGTGTTAGTTCAGTCATCAGAGGGGAAAGAAACCTTCCTTTTCTCTTGCCAAAGACAGCATCTGGAGAGTTTTGAAAGATGCAAAATATGTCATATTTAACCAGTTTTTTAATGTAAAAAGCCAAAAATTAACATGATAAATATTTCATACCACAGAAAAGAATAAATACTTTACAATCCATTTTCACATACAGAACAAAAATACTGAGGTATAAGGGCATTTTGAATTCTGGAGAATGTCAGCCAAGATAGAGAAATTAGAAAGTCCATTCATTTATAAGGTAAATATTCTTTATAAAGAAAAAGGCAGACCCCCTTCACTCAACCCAAGGAAATGCAGAACCCATCTAATCTAGAAGGATCTTCAAACTCCTAAACAGAGAACCAACAACTACCCCACATCAGTACGTTGTTCAGTTAAGTTGCAGGGATTAGATCTCACTTTACCATTTACAAAAGGGAACAGTTTAGGGTGAGTGAGTCCTGTTCTGAGGCTTTTATCCCAGGCCGAGCGTATCTGACGCCTTCAACTAACTGGTGTCTTGCTTCCTTATTCCCCTGATGTCCACTCTCCAGCCAGTAGCCAAAATAAACTTCTTAAAATGTAAATCAGTTCAAATCATCTCTTTTCTGAAAACCTTCCAATGGCTTCTCTTTGCATTTAGACCACAGTCAAAACTTACCACGGCCCATGAGGCCCCACAGGATTAAACCCAGGCTCACCTCTGGCCGAATCACCTGCCGCCTTTATGCAGCTCCGGCACCCTGGCCTTCCTAGGGACGCAGCATACCAAGCTCACACCCCCAAACCACTGTCTGCGCACAGGTGTCTCGTCCACCTGGGACCCTCTCCTCCTGGATCTTGTCATCCATCATTCAGGTCTCGGCTTGAATGCAGCGTCCTCATTCCACGGCACCCCATGACCACCTCGCCTGGACCTTCCCTTACTCCATGTTCATTTCTGCACAGCAGTTACGAAAGAAGCTAGAAACAGTATCTCAGCTTCTCTTTCTTATTTGGTTCATTTGTGTCTCTTCCCACAACTACAACATGAACTCCAAGTACAGTGATTGCCTTCTTTGCCGTTATATCCCAAAAACCTCGACCAGCAATATGACATGTGGTAGAATGAATAAAACACTGAGTTATCCTCCAGTAGGGCCACTACTTTGGGGCCAAAACAAAATTTCCTGGAAGAAATTTGGGAAAAGGCAGATTGTGCAGTGCCTTCAGCAAGCAGTGGAACCAGCAAATGGAAGGACATGGTCTGGAATGACAGAATTCACAGCTAAAAAGGACCCGTAAAGGCCTCACTCTGCAGGGCTCAGGAGCTGGTCAGAAGCCAAGGGGCAGGCCCCGAATTACTGACTGGCAGAATCACTACTCAGTAGCACAGGGGCTTCAAGGGCTTGTCCTTTCTCAAATGTCTCTCATTCTTTTGTCCTTGCGCTTCCCTGGGCCTTGACAAAAATCCCAGCTCCCATTGGATGATGATTAATGAACCCCAGAAAGTATGGGCGATCTGCTCACCTCTGCTCACCACAAATATGTGTGTACATACATGCACTGCGGTAGGGAAGTACTTCAGGTATTTATGCTAAAACGGCATTTAACTCACACTGTCCTTATTTCCTCTTTGTGCTAAATGAAAACTTCCTTAGAAATTAAAACACATCATTTTCATCCTCATTTTAGAGGGGAGAGGACAGGCAGGCAGAGGCTAAGAGACCAAACCAACTGCTTCCTCTAATACTTGTGTGTATTTTCTGCTTTTACATCAGAAATAGTTGTCCCTCCGAGCTACCGGCTTGCATTCACCACACAGACTGTAATGGTTTCCCTGTCGGTTTGGCTGCTGAAAACCGAGAGACAGAGGGGTGGCCCACCTCAGGCAAGCGTAAAAACCTCAGGGGAGGGGAGGAGATCTGAGTTTCGAATTCACTTTTGCCTCCATTTTTGTCTTTACCTTTGTTAACCCTGTGCCTCTTATTTCTCATTATTTTCTTTTAAAATGAAAAGCAAATCAAAATGCCTATTGAAAAATTACCTTGGTAATATGTGCTTTAAAATTTTAGAAACCGCAGTTAAAGCGAATAGATACACCGAAGGAAGAGAGTAAAACCAGCAGAGAGGCCCCCGAGCGCACGACGCCACCTACGCGAGTAAGTGCCGCCCCTTCCTTACCGACCTCAGAATGGGCTCGCACTGCGCAGGCTGTTCAGTGACTTTTATTTTTGGATAATGAAAATCCTGGATGTAAATTAATGTATGTCCACTGCATTTTTAGTGATTCATAGTTCTTACTGCATGAATGTACCACTGTTGATTTAACCAATTTTTGAGACGACATCTGGCCCGTTTCTGATTTTTCACCCAGCAACAACATTTTATAGACACTGTTATGGCTCAACCCAACCCCCGTCCTTACTTCCTCCAGACCTGTTTCACACAAGTGTCACCGCTTCTACTTTACAGTCTCTGGCTGCATTTTACGTATCTCTGCAAGCTACCTTAACTTTTTACTGAAGGGAAGTAGAGCGGACTCACACACACATTGAAATAACTACCTTGGGAAGAACATTTTTTGATTTAATACAAAGGAATATGGGCTCAGACAGTTTTTTTCCTCCCCCTCTACTCAGTGCTTCATAGACTTTATAAAGATGCTTGTATTTGTCAACTAGTAAGAGTTACAGATCCTGCTTTAAAAGATAGAACTTCCTTCAAACAATTAAAAAGGGCTGGTGGGTTGACAGGCTGCAGAATAAATCAGATTCCACTTTGACGATGGTCCAAATCAAATGCGGCACCACTGCAGGAGATCAGGGGCCTGGCCCCTTCTCCCCACCTGGGTGGCTGCCAGAGACTAGCTCCCCAGAGCAGCGTTCTTAACCTGGGGCCCTGAGACCCCGAGAGCATTCAGGGTGTCGATGAACTTAGGAAAACAATTACATATTTATTTTCACAAACCTATAACTGAAATTAAGCACGTCCTTCCATTATAAGGAACAAATCACAGTATTAGCAGTACCTGCCACTTGGTCAGAAATGAGATACTTCAGGAACACACTGCAGTTGTTACAGACATCTTGACATATCACTATACCCAAATTAATGCTGGTTATCAGAACTGCACTGTAACTTGTTATTTTAAATGTCAATAAAAAAATACATGTCTTATTATATCCCAACTATGTTTTTTAATATCTTAGCTGAATTTTAATAACTGGCTTCCTTATAATCTTTTATATTTGATTTGGTATGTATGCATTTAAAACATTCTTCTGGTCAAAGACGTTGATGACACCCAATTGGTGGAAAGCCCCTGCTTCAGACCAACACGGATTTGTGGAAACACAGACAATGGCACTTTGGGAGTTAATGAGTCACTTAAATTGGGAAACAGCAGGTAGCAGGTCTGACGCCTCACCAGATGTGTGACCTTCGCCGAGAACAATGCCATCTGTCGAACTATTTTACCTCTGGTTTCCACAGCATGGATGCATTTCCTGATAATGCTGAAGCCAATGGTGTCCAACTGTGCAGCTGAAAGAGGAAGAGAAGGGCAGTCAAGGTGCTGGCCATGCAATCAAGGGACAAGGCTTGACCAACCCAGGATGAATCAGTCCCAGGGTGTGGGTGCATGTCCTTTTCATTTTCCCCACTAAAGGTACAGGAATGGTTTTTTTTTTTTTTAATTAGCTGGCATTTATCGACAGCTTACCGTATGCCAGGCACGGTTCTAAGTGCTTTGCATGTATTATCTCATTTAATTCTCATAGTAGAATTACTGCAAGGTTTTCCTTTATGTAGAGCTGAAGAAACTGCACCATAGAGTGAGGAGCACTTTAGCAAAGGAAAAACTAGGCACCCTTTAAATTGTTTTGTTATTCTCAGGAGCTGTAAGACTAACGGCTTGCTGGTCTCCTTCAAAAAGCATAAATTAAGTGCTCAATAAAAATGTTGGGCAAGTGCTTGATGCAGATGACCGCATTTAATCCTAGAAAGTCCTCTAGGCTGCCACTATCATTAGCCTCATATTATATTATAGGTGAAGAAACTGAGATTTGGCAAAGCTAAGTCTCTTGACCACAGTTGCAGAGCTTATATGTGGGAGACTCATTCCGCACCCTGGACCACGCAGCTGCCTTAAAGGTGACCCTGAGTTAAACAGAGCAGTAAAACCCTGCTCAGGTTACTAAGAAAAAAGGAAAAACGGAAAAAGGAGGAGTGACACAGAGAAAAATTAAAACAGCTAAGAACAAAGAAACCACATGAGGAAGGAGCAGAAGAGCCGCCCTCTGCGTGGCTAGATCAGCGGGCAGTGGCAGAGTTCTCCATCTGCTCCAAACCCACTGATGTCACTCAGAAAATGAATGATCAGCAGCAAAAACTTTCTCCAAAGTGCAGAACCAATTTCCAAAAGGGCAAGGCGGCTGGAAACCCACCAAAATGCATCCCCCACACTCTGGTTACCCCTCGGTGTGTTATGGTAATCTTTCAGAACGAGTTCACCTTTGACCTCCTTAGGACATTAGGGCATGATGGGAATGTACCACAGTGGAGAAGGGAGTGGTAGAAAGAAGGTGAGTATCCATAAATGATTTGTCATTATCATAGGGCAAGAAATAAACATGCAAAATATGAGAACTGTGCAGAATTTGAACTCATCTGGATCTAATACAAATGGAATCTTTTCCCAACTCTTAATGTATTTGGGTAAACTTAGATCCAATGAAGATAAAAATCCTTAAAAAAAGAAAAATCACTGAGAATTACCCAAATCAAACTAAAAAGGAACACTAATTTCCCAAAACTTCTCTTCCCAAAGGGAAACAGCTCTTGTTCTTACATGCATCACTTAGTGGTATTCATTATAAACACACTTGGCCTCTAGGATAGTAAGTGAAGTATCAGAAAAAGAGGAAAACAGTGTTTTTCCTCCTTGAGACCACCTGCTACACAAACCACTACTGTTCTTCCTTTAAAGCTGTAAGGAGCCCAATAACTCATTCCCTTGCTTTTTCTAGTATGAACCACGTATTTACTCTGCAAATTGTGTTTAATTAAGCTTTGTGACTCAAAGCTGCAAGTCAGATCGAAATCATTCTTCCAAATGAAATTCAATCAACCAATGCCATAGACTCTACTCCAAATTTAATAACTTACTATGATACACAGGACAAGTACCTGTTGGGACCTAAGGAAAGATTTTTTTACATACAGCTTTATTGAGAAATAATTCACATACCATAAAGTTCACCCATTTAAAGCTTACATAATTTCTAGTATGTTTACAAAGTTATGAATCAATGACCCCTAATTCTGTAACATTTGCATCATCCACCACAGAAATCCTCATCCACAGTAATAGTCATTCTCTATTTCCCGGACATTTCATGTAAATGGAATCATGTTAACATGTGGTCTTTAGTGTCTTACTTCTTTTGTTTCACACAATACTTTCAAGATTCATCACTATTGTAGAATCAAGACTTCATTCCTTTTAATGACTAAATAATATTCCATTGTCTGGATAAACCACTTTTCATTCATCCATTTATCACTTGTTTCCACTTTTTGGCTATTTTGAGTAATGCTGTGAGGAACAACTGGGTTCAAGTCTCTGTGTGGACATGCATTTTTATTTTTCTTTAGGATATACCTAGGAGTGGAATTTCTGAGCTATATGGTTACCTTATGCCTAACTTTTGGCAGGAACTGCCAAGCTGTTTTCAAAGTGTGGCACCACTTTACATTCCCACCATCCATGCATGAAGGTTCCAATTTCTTCACATCTTTGCCAACGTCTGTTACTGTCTTTTTTATTATAGCTATTCTAATGGGTGTGAAGTGGTATCTCATTGTGGTTTTGATTTGCATTTCCCTAATGACTAATGATGTTAGGTATCTCTTCATGTGCGGGGAGCATTTTCATTCCTTTTATACAGTAGTCAGAATAGAACCTACTGGAAAGTATTTGTCAGAGAGGAAATTATTTTTTGTACTTGAGGTTTCCAAAATGTTCTTAACTGTGTTTAAACAGTTGAAGTCTTCTAGTTCTTTTTTAGAGAGATGCTTAAAAGACCGTTCTGTAGAGATGACAGTCAAAGAAGTTTGGAAGAGAAAGAATGGCTATTTTGCACAGTGCTCTGGGAAACTGCTGGGACTGATTCTGAACTTAGATGTTTTCGGGGTAGGTTTGTGAACATGGTCTTGTTCTAGGCACTGACAAAGACAATTTTGCTTCTTTCCCCCATGAACATTGATAAGAAGTTTTGGAAAACTGGAAATAACCTGGCAACTGACTGGCAACCCCACTGGCTATAAGATACATGCTCATAAAGCCATCAGCATAACTAGCAGAAGGAATATGGCGAGAACTAGACATAAACCTGCAGAGGCAATCAGTCCTTGAGACTTCTCCGGTGGAACTGTGGGAAGCCAGATCCTTTTCGAGGTAAGTAATAGTTAATGGCAAAGAACACAACGGAACCTTCCAACTATATCCTGGAAAAAACACAATTTCACTAACCTACATAAACTGCAATTACTTTTGGAAAATGGCGAAGCAAACCACCCCCCCCAAAAAAACCCTCTGAGCAAATGTTTCTCCTTTGGTTTTCCCAACATTAGAAGTTCTCAGATTTGTTTTAAACCAGCAAATCCCTTTCCTTGAAATAAATCTTGCACAGATGTTACACATAAGGCCTTATACATTACACATGTAACAGTATTTATTAGTAGATGTAAGTTCAAATGTATATAACATTTACATATTGCAAGGTCAAATGCTAAGAGTTCAAGTTAACTTTTTTAGGTTCTAATGGGTTCCAGTTGTATACTAATGATACTTACTAGAAGTTTATAAACATAGAAAACTATGGAATGGAACACAGAAATGGAACTCATTACCAAATAGTTTCCAACAAGGAACTCAGGAGATAGAGCCTAACAATGATTGCTCTAAGTCTCTAAACTGGACCTGGTACAGTCATCACACTGCCCACCGCCTTGGCACTCCCTTTACATCTCTCTCCACCTGTCACGCGTGTGCGCTCACACACACACTAACACACAGGTCTGACTTCTACTCTCAGCAACTTGCGTTTCCTGCTGATGTCACGATTAAGGTACAAATGATTAACAACTGCTTTATGATTTACATGCAAGGAGCACCACTAATGGAATACGGACTAGAGCGCACTCATGACTAGAGACCATCAGTCCTGACCTCTGCCCAGCACAGACATGATCTAAGTTAATTGAGATCTTTTCCTCTGAAAAGAGATTTCTCACTAAAAGGTTTAGAACACCATCACCGCAGAGCAGTTTGCTGATGACAGAAGAGGTCTGAGCGTCCGCCAGATGGAAGCGGCTGTCTTAATCCCTTCAAGCAGGTGATTCAGCGCTTTCACTGAGCCAAGGCTCAGAAAAGGTCAGGGATTTATTTGCAATTTCTGTATCCTTATAATCTCCAGGAATAATCTCTCATTAAATATCTACTAGGCTTGCATTATTCCCTTAATTTGACTTTCGATGAGTTGTTGCAGGACCAGTGGCTCCTAGGCCCGACATCCGCCGTCTTGCTGCCAAGGCTTAGACTAGCTTCTCATCCTCCCTCGGCCTGAGTTCAGCTGTGCCGGGGTTTACGCACAGGGCAGCCCAAAACAGCTGCCGTGTGAGGAGCGTTCACAGAGCTCGTGTCAGACACCCAGGCTGAACCGCCAAGTCAGAAATGTGTCATCCTCTTAACTTGCATTTCAACTTTTGAAGCCTTGTTTCTTTGTCTTCTTTTTGAGAAAGTAAACGGTCAGGGTTACACAAACTATTTTCTCAAAGTTCTGTGGAGAACAAGAGAACCCTGGAGACGTGGGCTGATGCTCAGCTCGGAGTTTGAGGGCAGAAGTGGGACAGGGATGCCTGGCAGACCCTTGGGGTCTGCAGTATCATGCCTACGATATGAACTCCAAGGAGAGACACAGGTTAAATCCAGACACAGACTGTTTTATTACAAAGGACTTAAAAGAACAACACACTCTTGAGTTTCAATCAGATTATTTGCTTGTCATAGAGGAGGGGGCTATGGGTCAGGCAGGGGCATAACCATCACTGTCACACTCTGCAGCCTCTGGGGCCTCACGGCACCTCACCTGAGACGCTTTCCCTGGCTCTTTCTGCCTTAAAGAAAAAAAAATGAGGTGCACGGCAAGTGGTAGAGGGTGATAACGACAATAAAACCATGATTATAAGCCTTAGTGCTCTCCCTTTCTTATCCCCATATCCGAATCACCACCAGGTCTCCCAGTTTTACCTCCTAATGCCTCTCAGCTTTCGTCTAGTTCTCTCCATCTTCATCACCATCATCTGGTCCTGGCCTCCATCATCAGCTACCAGGACTGCGGCAGTGCCCACCTAACTGGTCTCCTCACACCTCTGCCGGCTCCCTCCAATTTGCCTTCCACGTCGCAGCCCCTGTTCAAGTCACTCCCGGTTCAGTCTCTCAAGGGCTCCCCACTGCTCTCGGTAGGATAACCCAGATCCCT